GGTAGTCGCGTGGGACGCACTTGCCGTGGCGGTTGTAGCCGGTGGGGCGGGCGTGGGTGAGGAGGCGGCCGAGGATAGGGACCTTGAAGATGAGAAAGTGGACGGAGAGGAGGCCGTAGAGGGTTTTGGTCCAGTAGATGGTCGACTTGAGGCGCCAGTTGGAAGAGAGACCCTCTGCGGCGATCGAGGTGCGGCGGTCGTGGTCGTCGAGGGCGGCCCAGACGATGACGGAGAAGCAGACGAGAAAGACGAAGGCATCGAGGATGACAAAGGCGCGCAAGCGGCCGCCGCGGCCAGCGTACCTTGGCTTGCCGCAGCACGAGCCGACGATGCGGCCTGGGCTGTGCGGATCGACGGCCGAGGCGTCGCCGGAGCGTGAGCCGTCATCGGACGACGGCGTGCCGTGGCGGGCGTGGAAGGCATAGACTTCGTCGGGCGAGAGGATGCCGTTGCCGTCGACGTCGTACTGGGCATGGGCCGAGGAGAGGACCTCCAGCGAGGTCCCGCCCTTCTTCTCGGACCGCGGGAGGAGGGCGGCGGCGAGCCAGACCATGACGACTTGCAAGAGAAAGAAGCCGGCCTCCCACAGCGGGAGGGTGGGCCCGGTCTTGGCGCACTCGTTGACGGCTGGAGAGTCTGGGCCGGTGGTGCAGAGGTAGTAGAGGACGGCACCGTAGCAGGCCGGGAACAGGCCACCGGTGATAAACTGGACGCCCTTGAAGGAGAGGATAAAGTCGACGAGCTGGAACTCGTCCGAGTGGTCGATGGCGAGGAGGACGGCAAGATAGAAGGCCTGCGGGACGCCAAAGAGTGGAAATACAGAGGCGAGGGTGAGGAGGAGGAAGAGCGGGTTGCGGAGACGGCGCCAGAGCGATCGATCATAGGGTCGGAGTGTGTAGAGAAACCCAGCACGGAGCCAAGCGAGCGGACCCGGCCAACCACAGCACGGCGGAGGACGACCATGATCAACAGGCACCTTTGCCACGGCCATCTTGTCCAGGACAGCGCCCATGACCTCGATCTTGACGTCTGGCCAGATGTCATCAATGGTGGCATCGACAGCTCTCTGCACAGCAGCAGGCATGTACGGATCCTTGGCCCGGGCCTTGACGGCTTCCCCCGCAGCATCCAGAGCTCTAGAGACACGTGCCTCCAGCAGGAGTGCCACACGAGTCTTGATCCGAGCCAGAGCGTTGGCACGGAGCGCATGGACTTCATCCGACAGATCCGACAGCGAGTTGATGACTTCGTCCGGGAGTGAGCGGACGACCCGACGGCGGACGTTGCCCAAGAGACCGAGGGCTTTGCGGACATGAGGTGTGTGATGGGAGGAGGAGGAGGAGGAGGGGGAGGAGGAGGAGGAGGAGGAGGACGTGGTGGCGTGGGTCGTGCCCATGCCAAAGGGCATGATGATGGGAAGAGGGGTGGTGGTGGGAGAGGGAGGCGGGCGGGCGGGGGGAGGGACGGGGGGGGGGGAGTCGGGTGTATTAGGTGGGTGGATGTGGGTGTAAGGGGTGGGGGGAGGTGGTGGGCGGGCTGATGGTGGGCAGTGGTGGTGGGTAGGTAGGTAGACTGCGTGCGGGCGGACAGACTGTAGGTAGACTGCGTGCGGGCGGGCAGACTGCGGGCGGGCGGGCAGACTGCGTGCGGGCGCGGGTAGACGGGTCAGGCCGAAGACTCGAGGGCGCGGAGAGTGGCATCCCACGAGACAAACTTGAGCGAGAGCAGCCGCATGACCTCGTTGTACTCTTGAAGCGTAGCCTGGGTCGCCGAGTCCAGCCCGGAGGCCTGCAGGGAGGCATCTAGATGAAGCTCCTCCAGCCGAGCGAGCTCTGGAGCATGACGCGGGAGATCGGCAATGTGCACCGAGTCCAGCACATGCTTGCTGCCAGCCAGCTCGTCCAAAGCCGACGAGAGCGAGTTGATGAACGGCTCTGCAGCCTCCACAAGGGCGATCTTTGTCTCTGTCGCCAGCAGCCTTGCCGCCGGTGAGATTTTGAGCTTGTCCGGAGCACCTGGAGGACGATAGGCCGGAGCGAGAAGACCAGCAGCCTCAGCTGCTTCCGACTTGGCCACCACCTCTGCCAGCACCTCATGACCCACTCCCGCCACCATGTCGTCCACCTCGGCCGTCATCGATGCCACAGCATTGGTCAACGTATCCAGCATCGACGGAATGATACGGCCTTGTCCGTCGCGCGACTGGCCGCCCACCCGCGTCTCCAGCGCTGCGAGTCGGTCCACAACCTCACGGCTACTCTCCTGCATGGTGGTATACGTGTGTGTGTGTGTGTGAGGGGGGGGGGGTGGGAGTGGTGTGTGTGTGTGTGTATGGGGGGGTGTCAGGCAGGCGGGCGGACTGGCGCGACTTGGGGGTTTGGAGGCTGATCAGAATGTGATCAGAGTGCGATAGGCGATAGGCATGGTACGGAGGGATCGGGGTTGGGGTTGGGGTTGGGGTTGATGTTGTGTGTTGTGTGTGTGTATGTGTATGTGTATGTGTATGTGTATGTGTATGTGTATGTGTGTAGGAGGTGGTGGTGGTGGTCAGGCAGGCGGGCGGGCAGGGCAGGTGGGCGGACAGATAGGGAGGCAAGCAAGGTGAGCTGGCTCGGGTGAGGGTTCTGATCAGAGTAGGGAGCGTGGACGATGGACCTGTTCATCAGATCAGTTTGGGCCACATGTACGTAACAGTCTCGGAGGCCTGCCTATGTGGCTCGGGCCAAGCCTAGTCGGATTCCAAGTCCTTTTGCGCCACAAGCAGCTGTCTGGTACCGCCTGGCGCCACTATGTAGCTGGGGCAAGATGGAGAGGCTCATCGTCCAGCCCCCCCCCCCCCCCCCCCCCCCCCCCTCCCGCGCGCTTCACCTACACCTTCAAGAACGACCAACCTTGCCCGATTTCTAGGCGTGATTATTCCTGAAGGTTCCCGAGTGCCCGATTTGGAAAAAATAAACCCGACCCCCCCCCTTCCCGAGACGAAGCTACCTGCCACAATCAATGACATCATGATCATACCACGATCAAGCTCGTCAAGCTTGGCAAGTTCGTCAAGTTCGTGAAGGCGATCAAGTCGGGCCGAGTGATCGAGAGCGAGAGCAAGAGCGAGAGCGAGAGAAGACGGACAGACTCGACTCGATTGTTTTCTGAAACGATTGATTGATTGACCGTTGGACTGCATTGATCATGGCGACTGACTACGGAGTTGATCTCACCAATGGTGAGGGCAAGTGCTTCAAGCGTATCATTACCGAGGGCAAGGGCTCTGCCATGCCCCAGACCGGTGACACTGTCTCGGTCCACTACACCGGCACCTTGCTTGACGGCTCTGTCTTCGACTCGTCTGTCGAGCGTGGTGAGCTCTTCACCTTTGAACTCGGCCAGGGTACGTTCCCATACTCACCTTCTCATGTCACCATACTCTCCATGTAGCCCATATCTTGCTCTCTCTGGCCATGTCTTTGCCTTCTTCATACCTTGCCCCAACTCCACACCGCCGCCGCCAACGTCTCCACCGCCGACCGGTGCTTCACGAAGGAGTGCGAACACTGAGCGACGATGGCGACCCGGGAGACGGCGGCTGTCCACCCCCAAATTTTTGTACATTTTTTGTTCTGTTTTGCAACTCACCCCCCCCCCCCCCCCTTCCCCGCAGGCCGCGTCATCAAGGGATGGGACACTGGAGTGGCGACGATGAAGAAGGGCGAGAAGGCCATGCTCACGTGCAAGCCCGAGTACGCATACGGCGCGCGCGGCTCGCCGCCGAAGATCCCGCCCAACGCCACGCTGCAGTTTGAGGTCGAGCTGTTCTCGTGGAAGTCGGCGGCGGACTTGACCGACGACGGCTGCCTGCAAAAGTACGTGGTGACCAAGGGCGCCGGGTGGCGCAAGCCGCGGGCACCGTACCGGGTCAAGGTCAAGGTTGTGCAGCTTGACGATGCGGGAGCGACGCCTGCGGCCGACGAGGCCGAGACCCTGGTCGACGCCGCCGAGCCGGTGAGCCTCACGCTCGGCTCGGGCGCGTCGCCGACGCTCGATATGGTCCTCCCCGAGATGGCCGAGGGCGAGGTGGTGCGGCTGGTGGCGTCGGGTGTCTCGCCCGGGCACTACCTCCGCCCGCAGCTCGCGGCTGGCATCCACATGCCCGACGACCCCAACGACGAGACTGCGTCGCGGGCGTACCTTGTCAAGCTCTTGGGGTGGGCCAAGGTCGAGGACGTGTCGGCGGACAAGGACGGCTCGCTCATGGCCGAGTTTGTGGCCGAGGGCGAGGGCTACGTCAAGCCGCGCGAGGGGCGACGGTGACCATGGCGTACGCCATCAAGGCCGGCGAGGGCGAGGGCGCGGAGGTGCTGGCCGAGGCCTCCTCCGACGCGCCGCTGGTCTTTGACATCGACGCGGCGGATCCGAACGTGCCGGCGGTGCTCGACACGCTGGCGCGGTCGATGGCCAAGGGCGCCGAGCTTGTGGTCCGGGCGGCGCCGAGCGCGGTGCCTGACGCGGTCCGCGAGGCCGCCGGCGACGGCGTCGATGCCTTTACCATCACCGCCAGCATGCTCGCGTTTGAGAACGAGCCGTACGAGACGGCCATGAACGAGGCGCAAAAGTTCGAGTTCGCGGGCAAGCGCAAGGCCGAGGGCAACCGGCTTTACGGCGCCGGTGACTACGCACGCGCCGCCGAAAAGTACGCCAAGGCGCTCAAGTACTTTAAGGCATCGGCGACCGACGCGGCGCCTGATGCGTGGTCGAGCTCGGACGACGAGGGCGACGACGAGGGTGGCGCCGACGCCGACGCGACCGGGCCGTCTGCCGACGAGAAGAACAACCTCATTCTCACCTGCCACCTCAACGAGGCGGCGTCGCAGCTCAAGCTCGCCGACGGCGCGGCCAAGGCCGTCGCGTCGTGCTCGGCGGCGCTCCAGCTCGACAGCACCTCGCTCAAGGCCTGGTTCCGCCGGGCGCAGGGCAACATGGCGCTCCACGAGTACGACGCCGCTGAGGCCGACTTTGCCAAGGTCCTCGAGCTGGATCCGGAGAACAAGGCTGCGGCCAAGGGCATCAAGCGGGCCAAGGCGTTCGCTGTCAAGGAGAAGAAGCGGCAGAAGAACCTGTACGCCAAGATGTTCGGCTGAGGCGGCGGCGGCGAGCCGGAGCTTGTGACGAAGAGAGAGCTTCCTTGCTGCGATTTTTGAGACAATGAAGAGCACAAGCACCATTTGTCTGTGGCTCACATGGAGGGAGCGGCAAACTGGCGGCAGGCGTAGCAGAGCGGGGCGGGATCGTCGGCGTGCGGGAGCTCGTCGATGGCGCCGTAGTGGACGCCGGTGGGGACCGGGCCGGACGACGGGGCGCCGGCAATGCGCGGGAGCGCGATCCGGCCGCAGCATAGGGCGCAGAGGCGCGGGTCAAACGCCGCCTCGTCCGGCACGTCGAGCTTGCGCACGGTCTTGGCGATGGCGTTGAGGGTAGCCGGGAACTCGTCCTGCAAGCCAGCCATAAAGGTGGCGGTGAGCTGGCGGAGGGTGGCCTTGGCGCTCGGCGCTGGGATCGACGGCCCGCGGGTGAATGGCGGGAGCTCGGCGGTGAGCAGGGAGCGGGCACGGACGACGCCGCGCATCTCGACATGCAGGTTGCTCAGCAGCGGGCGGAGGAGCCAGAGGTTCGGCTCGCCTGGGACAACAGCCTCCATGTTGACGGCGTCGGGCACCTGCTCGCCGCGGCCGTTGACGAGCATCATAAAGGCGTCGACGGCCAGAGCCGTCGCCGACGTGCCGCAGATGAGGGCATCAGCGCCCACTCTCCGCGCATACGCCACCAGCGCGCGATGGCGGAGGAGATGCAGAAGCTCTTCCCGGGCCGAGAGCGTCTTCTCGGCGGCGAGCATGCTCGCCACTCGTGCCACACCCTCTGCAGACGGCAGGTGAGGCCAGAGCTCAGCCGAGATGGTAGTGACGTCAAGCGAGAGAGACTGAGCGTCTGCCGCGGCCATCACGGCAGCCGCAGCAGCAGCGCGATCATCATCCGAGGCCAGAGCTTTGAGATGAGGCGAAGTATCGATGAACACGCCTTGAACACGCCACTTGATCTTGGCATACTCTGCAGCTTCGTTCTCTGCCAAAAGATACGCGAGATATACGCTCGATGGACCGCCAGAAAAGCCAGAGCAACAGTAGTGCCCGAGGCAAGGAGACCCGATCGCGTCAATTGGCTCCGAAAAAGAGTCCGCCGTGTCCGAGCCGAGAGCGTCCGCTCCACGCACGAGCCACAGAGGACGCGATTGCGGAGCGCCACAAGGACCTCCTCATCCTCTCCGCCGCACTTGGCGCACACCCTATCCTTTGGCCGGCCCACCGCCTCGTGCGCTCCGTCGTCCTCCGGGTTGGCCTCGCACATTGCGGGGCGAGTGGAGTGTGAGCGGCTTCGATGGATGGGAGGGGGGGGGATGGGGATGGGGATGATCAGGGGGATGGGAGTGGGAGTGGGAA